CTGCCTCCCCTTGCAAAAGCCAGGATCTGTCCCAGTTCTTTGAAATGTAATCTCTCTGTCTCAGGACATGTGACAGCCTGTGCTGTGATTCTGGAGCGGGTATGTGAAGCCTCCTGTGACATAGTGCCAATGCCCCTGCTAAGTCTCCCCACTGCAGGGTGCCCTTGTATAGGAACTGGTTTCCCAGCATGCCTCTCTGGGGCTGGCCCTTTACACAAGTGGCCAGTTGGCTCCCACCTGGTGCATTTCTCTCTCCTCCAGCTAGTTTGTCCCCTTTGTTTTCCTCCAGTTTTTCCTTAGTGCTGAGGAGAGGGCACAGCTTGGCACCCCCTTTTAAAGGGGCACATAAGCCCTGGGTGTGGTTGGCTCTGTACCCTGGGTTCTTGGCCCAGCTCCTCATTGCTTGTTTCTCTTGCCCTCTCTCCAGTGAAATGCTTCTGTGCAGTCTCTTCAGGGGCAATCCCGAGGCTGGGCCTCGGGCCTCTCCTTATCCATGCCAGAGCCTTTGAACATGTTGCATATGTTTAATGGTATTTGTGTGTAAATAGCTTTGTAAATATTAGCACAACTGTAGCAAGGAGCTCTGGTCCTGGTACCTGCCTGGCCTTTACTCTCTTCTGAATGGACATGGTGTTTATATGTATTAGCTGGTTTGTAAATCGGGCTGGTTGGTGGTGGCTAAATGTCTAAGTACCAGTGGCTGAGTAAGCGAGTTAGTTAAAGGGATGTGCTTCCTCCCCCACACCTTGCTGGGAAAAGCTGGCAATGTGCTACGGGACGGAGTAATTTTCTTGAGGGTCATCCTTAAACTCCTAGGCCTGGTAGTCAATGTCTAGTGATGCTGATTCCCCCATAATGTGAATTTCTCCCCTGCATTCCTACTGTGAATAAAGACTGTCTGTATATTTGTTGGAAACTATGAAATGCAGTGCGAAAAATAAATATCATGTATGACATCCTCTTTATGTGTGACCCTTGTTTTCCTTAGCCTGGGAGGGAAACTGTGTCAGGACGGGCTCCCTCAAGGTCATTTGAGGAATGAAGAACAAGCAGGACCTCACCACTGTACCTCTGAGGGGACTTTATGGGAATGAAATGGGCAGAGGTCCTGCAGTGGGAAAGAATGGAGCAAAGAACACAGACAGGAGCCCCAAAGCGAAGGGGGTTATGGTGTACAGTGTAGAGGAGAGCCTCAGGGAGACAGGAGTAGACAGGACTTGGACAGAGGTGATGGATACTACAGGTGATGGATGCTTTGAAAGAGGGATTGGTGGGTGAAAGAGGGAAGAGGTAAATGGGAGATCGTGGGAGGCGAATGCAGAATGGCACCCTTTTTCTATTCCTGTTCCACTGGGAAACTCCTGGCTGACAGTGATTTCTCTGGCTGTTTTGGGGGAGGGTCAGAAGCCAGTTAAACATATAAGGATTTTGATTGTAAAATGCAAAAAGATGATTTGAAAAATGTGTTAGTTAAAGAGATGTGCTTCCTCCCCCACACCTTCCTGGGAAAAGCTGGCAAGCCACTACCGGATGGAGTAATTCTTTTGAGGGTCATCCTTAAACTCCTAGGCCTGGTAGTCAATGTCCAGCGATTTCTCTGGCTGTTTTGTGGGAGGGTCAGAAGCCAGTTAAACTTAAAAGGATTTTTATTGTAAAATGCAAAAAGGCGTTTTGAAAAATGAGAACAATTCCAAGTTGTGTGGCAAATGGAGCAGGGCATGCGTAGCCCAAATCTCAGAGGTTTATTAACTTGGAGGTAAAAATGCTGTGATATAAAGGAATGCTCAGACTCTCACGGTTATAACTGCTCACAGCCTGATGCTGTACTCACTAGATGTGCCCATTTCATTTTTGTGATACTGTTGGCATTGGAATGGGTCTCAGAGCACCCCCGGTGGCAGCGCAGGAGCCTTGGGATACAGGTGGCATAACAGTTTCCTGTAAAAACAGCCTCTGCATTTACCATTCATGACCGATGTGATAACGTTGCCCTCAACAGAACAGACCAGCTCCAGAGGCACAAGCCACGATGTCACTGAATATCCCTGCCATGCTGCCCAGAGACACGGATAGCAGTGAACCCATGCCTTCCCTTTCTCTCCCCCTCCCTCCAGAAGTGTTAAAGGAACCAGAACCACAGCAAACTTTGTTAACAATGGTATTAGTATTTGGTTGAGAACTCGATCTTCTTATCGCTTCCCAAGCAGCCTGCTCCCCCCTCCCTAGCAGTGATCTTCCCCAATGGACTCATCTAGCTCCAGCTCAGGTTCCTGGTGTAGCACTTTCTGCTGCAGCTCAGAGTAGAAGTCAACGCCCTCTGAGACGGAGCGGAGAGGCTTGTCTCGCTGCTGGTAGTAGCTGCTTATCTGCTCCCTGTGCTGCTGCATGAAGCACTGGTGATGCTGTGACTGGTCCTTGAAGCTCCCATCATAGCCTTTGATATGGTTACGCTTGAACTCCAGCACAGTCTTGGTGTAGGTGTTGAGGGTGGTGACAGCAGAAGCCATGCAGCAGGTGAAGGAGGCCCAGGCCATGCT